GAGGCAACTGTGACTAATGCAGGATGAATTCCCCTTGTGTTGGCTCCTTTGGCCTTTACTCCCTCACTGCCACATTCCCGAGGAGCCTAGATATATAAATACTAGCATTAGGCAGTCTTTATGTCCTAAGCCTCAGAGCAGGGACCAGCCACTTCCCTGGCCTTTTGTGGTAAAGTTATACCATGTCCCTATAGGTACTAGAAGGCTACGATTGAAGTACCATACAGTAAAAGCTCTGTTAACCAGCATCCATGGGGGATGCCGGTTAATCCCATATGCTGCATCCTGGTAAAGTGCAGGATAACATGGCTTTTGCTGTATTAGGCTGCTGTTCAATGCCCCTGCCTGTGCAGGATTGTTCCCTTATAAATCATAGCTTTTGTAACCTGGTTGCATCTTGGACAGTCTCAGACTGACTAAGCAACACAGACTCTGGGCCTCAGTTCAGATATGCTTTATTCAGTTTCCTACAAAGAGCGTGAATGCTACAGGTCCCAAGGGCTTAATCATTCCAGGGCTTTTGAATTGAACTTGGGGCACTGCAAAACTCATAGTATCCCCAGTGGGAGAGCGCTGTCTAGAGGGAAGCCCATGTCCTTGCACTGTGGCCCACTGTGGGCCATTCCTGTTTCGACACAACCAGAGTCTGTCCTCATCCACTGCTACCCTGGGGCACATCCCCACATGCAGGGGTGTGTGCTTGCAGTGGCAAAAAAAGGTAGCAGCATAAATTTTTGCAGCTACTTTTTGCCACCATGCATGCCCCTGCACGTGTACTTTGGTGCAGGGCAAAATGCCCTACTTTGGGAAAACTACCATTTCCCCACTCCTCCCAGCTCCCAGCGTGCTGGAGGAGCCAGGGCAGAATTAGAGGAGGGGAGACATTCTGGCCAGCAGCCAGGGTGTCTCCTGGGAGAACTGAGCCTCAGTGTCTGCTGGCACACACTCCTGTGGCATGCGCTGTGCTGCTTTTTTTTGGCTGGTTTATTTCCAGGGGTTTTTTGTTGGGTTTTTTTTTGCCCCCGTTAATATGCCAGGTATGTGATTTATGGTACCACAAAGAGGTTTGCGGCACCATAAACTGCACTTGCCTGCACGTCTTTATCCGGCCCTGGAGTCCATATTCAGTAGGGATCCAGACACAGCAGAAATGTTAATGTGCCACCAGGTGTAACTGGCTTTCCTGTGAATGCCCTGTGAGAAATGGTTCTTTCCCCCCCATGTGTGCAGGTCCTCAGACCGCTGGCGTTCTCTCCATGTGTCAGGGCTGGGGGTGCAGGATGCTTAAGTTTGGTACATGGGATGTCCAGTCTTCATATGTGTTCTAAGGGGACAGTGGTCTCCTGTATGAGAACATCCTGGACCCAAGTAGCCTCTGAGCCAGCACTTCTTGGTATAGATACAGCCAGTTCCTGTGCCCTGCATCTGAAGAAAAACCGCCTCTTAGATTCTCTGTCACATACGGTTGAATTCCCTCCCTCCTGTTCCTTTATTCTGTTAAACCCCTTACTGCCATGTGAAACCTTGTCTCAAAATACTGAGATCATATTTTATAGAGGCCTAGTGCAACCCTGTGCAGCCCATGCCACTTAGCAGTGTCTTGTCAAAGACATTCTGCAAAAGTAAAAAATAGTCCCTGCTAACACCTGAACCAGTCTTTCATTTGAAGACTGATGTCTTATGTAGGAAATGTACTCTTTAAAGTGTTGATCTTTATGTCCTACTTTTCACTTTTGTCAAGGAGAAAAGCAGCATCTCAGTCGGACAAGCCAGCTGACAAAAAGGAAGAGGAAAGCCAAAATGTAAGTGAAGTGTTTACCATTGTTATGTGCTTGCTGAAGTGTGATATCTGCATGTACCTTCTCGTGACAAGTAAATGCCAGTTTACTGCTGCTGTACATTCAGGCAGTCACAGGCTAAATTCATTTGCTTCAAAACTTCACATTATGAGTATCCTAGAAATCAGAATCTCCTTATTCACAGATACAGCATTGTCCAAATCTTCACACTGTCCTCATAAAAGTGTCTTCAGAGTAAAAGAGCCCTGTCCATCCTTTGCCTCACCTGGAATATTTGTGCTGCTTCAGATGCACAGCCTACGGTGTAATGATTCCAGTATCTCCTCTCAGATACAGTGTACAGTCTTTGTTCAAACTTTTGACTTCCCAGAACACCAGACTTTAGCTGCGTTGAACGGTGTCATCATTTATGCATGATGCCTTTGGAAAGTGGTATACTATACTCACTGTAAAGCAAAGATCAAGTCACTCCAGATCACCAATTACATTTAAAGCTGGTTTCCCAGAGGGGGAGGGAAAGTGCTTTAGCTACTAGGCTATTCAGGAGCCATAGCATATCTTAGTCATACTTTCTGTACTATCAAGGGCACATATGTTTCACTTTAATAGATTAAAACCAGTTGGGCAAGTGGGAAGGGCCAGTAGTTTTGATGAATTTCTGTTTTAGCCATTCTGGCCATATGCTGCACACATTCTCAAGAAGATTAAATGGGAGCTTCAGTCTGCTTATGAACCATGTTTTAGCAGGCTTATTTAGCATAGCACATTTTAGGGAGTTGCTAAATAATATTGACATGTCAAGTACATTAGGTTGGGTTTTGCTGTGCTCCACTAATGCTCAACATTTCAGCCATGTTTATGAAAGTATTTATTTTGCTACTTAGCATGTAGGGTGGCAGGTCTGAAAGTGCTGTCACCATAGTTAGCAGACAGATTAGACCAAATCCTGCTCTTAGTTATGTCTGTGTAATTCCACTGAAATGAGTGGAAATACATGAGGATAGGGGACCAAAATCTTGTTTCATGTTTTCTAGTCAGGCTGTTTTCACAGTAAAGGCCATTCCTAAATTTGGGGACTGATTAGCTCCTAGGATAGGGAGTGGTAGCAGGCACCTTTGTCAGAAATTTGAATCCAGCCTGAGTGGTGAGGTGAATGTAGTAAGTGTTTGAGACATGGAGGTAGGAACTGATTACCAGTCGCTGCCCATTCAGTGACCCATGTTGGTGGGCTCAGTTCCTGGTGGAAAAACAGCTACATCAAAAGCCCACCTTGCTTGTACAGAGACCAACATCTAAATGAATACTTGAGCATGACATAACTTCAGCAGTCCAGGACTGTCCTGTATTGGTATGAAGCATGACCTGATGCCATCCATGCTGTGACTGATCACTGGCTAAAAGAAGAATGTAGTGCTCCAGAACTGCTGGTTCAGCACTGTTCACAAGAACACAAGTTCCCTTTAAAACTATGGATCCAAAAATGAAGAACTGCTTTCTTTTTCTTGTTTAGGAAGATGCTAGCACCTCGCCTTTGCCCGTTACACGAGGTCCCAGCCAGCCACAGAATTCTTCAGGTACATAATGTAATTATTCATGTTGTTCATCAGTATCATCATCCAGGGCAGACATCTTGCCATTGGGATGCGAAGTCGCTATCTGAGCTCTGAGTAAAGGGGCATTCCTCACAGAATTGTTCCAAGTCAGTTTGGTTTCAAATCTATTTGGAGTCATATGACTGTAGTGGGAATTTGAGTAAAAGGAAGGTGAATGTGAATTTCTTTCCCAGGGCCAGATAAAAAACAGAAGAGCCAGTCTCCTTATCTTTATTGAGAGGGCAGTGGGAATTAGGTGCCTTAAATGCCTTTGAGGATCTGTGCCTTGGTTCATCAGACGATATTTGTCCGCAGTAAAGGGAGCTGCACTGGGTGCAGACAGGAGTAACAATTAAAAGGTTTCCGAGTGAAATGCACACGTGCCCCTTTGCCATTCCTGTTTTAGAAAGCTGAAGCCTCCTCTAGCACCAGCGAGGAGGGCTGTTGGAAGTAGGGGGACCCTAACCCAGCTGCCAGGATTTTGACACTACATCCCAAATCCCCTTTCCCTCCCCTCTCTCCCTCTCAACCCAGCAGAGAGGTAAGGTGGGCTAGAGATGAAGGGCTTGGCTCCAGTGGGAGTCTCAGGAATTGGCATAGGTATGCCTATGCCTATTGGCATAGGTTTGCAGCCCAGCAGAGTCAGGACCATCTCTGGGTCTGGCAAGGTCAGGTGGATGGATTCCCAGTGGGTACCCACTAGTGCCTCAAGACACAGAGTGGAGGCTGGCAGCTGGGCACCAAGCAGGCTGTTCACCCCTTCTCCCTCCCATCCTCCCTCCCTCCCTCTCCCACTCAGATGTAACAAAAAGTGAAATGCTCCCAAATAGTACTTCATGGAAAGAGGTGCTGGTTTAGGTTTCAGCTGCCTGTAGAATGTTTCTAAGGGCTTATACATGTGTCCAGCTCGCCCTGGGAAAGTGCTAGGACTCTGATCATAAATGAAAGCAAGAGACTCCAAGTAACAAATCAGCCGCAAGCTGTGCAGAGACTGCCATGCAGCAGTCCTGGGCCTCACGAGAACTAAAAGGAGTGGAAGAGGCGGCAGTGAAATGAGCATGTAATCAGTCCTTTGTGATCCGCAATCCTGCATCACTTCTGAGCACAGAAGCCAGGCTGTCTGCTGCTTTTTCAGTAAGAAGGAAAGATCAGATAGGAAGGCATCATATAGATGAGGTTAGGGGGCTTGTTGCTTCTCAAGATGCTGAGCCCAGTAACTGCCTTGAGTTACATGACAATAAATTGGCCTGTAGTCAAGTATTCATGAATGATTATAAAATGCATATCCTAAATGTCTCGCGGCAAGAAAATCCTGAGTTTTGGCCTCTGATTTTGTGATAATATATAATGGGTTCTGTAATACAGCCCATAGTTAATAAATCCTCTGTAGTGATGTGCATAGCTGATTGGGCTGTCTTTTCTGAGCTATCCATGTCCTTTACAAGGAAAATCTTTTGTGCTTTTGAGACATAACCTAGGCATAAGCTTCACATGGTATATTTATGCCTCATGTCAGACCAATCAGCAGAATCTCCCTAGCAGGGAATGTTTGCAGGATAGTTTCTCAGACAGATTCTCCACCTTTTGCATTTTGTAGAACACTTTATAAGTTCTGGGACCTCTGGTAGAGGCTTCAACTCAGTAACTAGGGTGACTGACAGTTCCAGATTTCGTAGACTGTCCCAGCCAGTTGGTGAAAATTCAAACAAAAGCCCCAGATTGACACTTCTCCATCTGTACTGCCCAACCTGGCTCCTCCAGAGCAGTGGCTGGGGTGGGGAGACAAGATGGTTTGGATCCCTGCCATGAAGAGAGTGGGGGGTCCCTCCTCCCCTGCCCACCCAGCTGCTGGGGACCCATGTTTGGGGGTGTGGTTCTGGGCTCTGCCCTGGGACTGCAGCCTCAGCTGGCCCCATCCTATCTAGGCCCACTGTCCCTGATACCACCAAGTACGTGTGTATGTGTGTGCGCGTGCGTTGCAGGGGAGGTGGCAGGGGGCCAAGCTGGAGAGAAGGAGGGAGGGGGAGAGAGAGAGGAGTGAGTGGAGGGTTGCAGAAGTAGTGGGGTAAGAAGTGGTCTGATAGAGGCAAGAGGAGACTGAACCATGATGGTCAAACAGCCACACCAGGCGTGGCACACGCACAAGCCGATACAGCAGCCTGGATCCACAGCAGCTGCACACACAGACACACACATACACAGATAAATACACACGTTGCACTAACGCTTCCCATGGAATAGGTCTACTTTCTTCCTGCTTGCCAGCAGGCTCCAACTCAACCCTCCTCCTCCTCCTCCTCCTCCTCCTCCTGATCTCTTGCCCGGCAAAGCCCCAGCCACCTGTTTTCGCAGCCTTGCTCTCCCCATTTTCCCAAGGGCAGTCCCTCTGTTGTCCCCCCCACCGCTGCTGCTAGCCAGTGGGGAGAAGGAACAGCCTGGTGGGGGCCAGTGTCCCAGATTTCCTTAAAAATATGGTCACCCTATCAGTAACCCATTTCCAGGGTCCTTTGTGTGTATCATTGCAGCCCACTGTCCCAATTTAGAGAATAGGCCCTTTGTTGCTTTTGGTCTTTCTAGAACTTAAGATTTAAAGTAGAAATGAATAAATAAATGAATTAATCCCTGTTAGAAATAAAGCATACAGTTTACAGAAATACAGTGCATACAGTTTTATTAATTCATTTATTAAACAAAATTCACATAGTTTTTAAGCACTTAATTATTTAGTATTAAGTAAAAGATACAGAGCTTTGTAATCTTTATCTAAGCACATTTTGCTACTGTTGGTACACTTAAACAGTCATTACTATTCATTATTGTTAACCTCTAGGACCTCCTTCATATATATCTCTGGAGCATGTGTTCCTAACATTCAATTAAACCAAAGGTAGAAAAAAAAACAATTTAAAGTTTTTGTTATGCAAAGAAAAAAAATCAGGATAAGAGATCACAATTCTTCATGCTTACTTTACAGAACCAGGGAAGAAGCCATGGGAAAGAAGCAATTCTGTTGAAAAGCCTGTATCTTCATTACTCTCTAGGTGAGCTGCCCTGGTTGCTTTCTAGGTCAGCTGCAAGGTCTGGACTGTAATCACACTATCATTATAATGTACTCAATTCACGTCTTATTTCATTCCATTGCCATAGAAATCCGTCAGTGACGAAGAGTCCAGATGTTAAGAGCCCAGTACAATCTCAACCACCTTTTAGGTACCGAAAAATGCTCTGGCATCTTAACTATCTCAGCTTGTCCTTTGGAAAATCATGTCATCCTGCATTCAGCACTAACATTCTGTTGTCATTGTCATCTTTACTCATCCTGTTGTGATTTGCTTATCTGCTGCTTTTTATACTCTGAGCCAGGTATTTGTCTCAGTGGGGTTATGCAGATGTAAGTGGGACTAGAATTTGGCAGATCTAATATCAAAGGGAGCAGATACTAGAGCAGTGAACTGCTCTGTGAATATAGCCTTGAGCCCCAGTTCAGGTAAGGGCAGGTTGGAGTTATTGGGACCTGAGCACATGCTTTAAGTTCAGCAATCACTCATGTGCTTTCATGAATCAGGGCCCTATTCTTGTTCCTGGTATTGGCTGGGAGCATATGCTGTGCCCTGGGAAGGGCAAGAACCTAGAGGTTCTCTTTATTGCGTTCCAGCAGGACTTGCAGGATGGTCCTTTCTGAAAGGAAAAGCCTTCATTTCCCAATACCAGAGGGAGTTCAGAAGCAGAGCCTGTATGAGGGGCCTGTCTGCAGCCAGGCGATGGAGGTTATTTCTCCATCTATGCAACTGCAGTGCAGAGAGAGGAAGAAGGAAATTGAATGTGGCAGAGGGTTTAGAGGATTCTGCTGCTAACACTGAAAACCCCAAGCCACCAGGGAGGGCACTGACAAATACAGAAACAGGCTGTAAAGCAAAGTAGTCTACAGCAGGGATCCAGCAAACAAAACCCAATGGTCAAATTATGGGCCTAACACACAGTGCCGATCACACATTTAAAGAAAAGGAGAAATCAGCTGGCATGGAAAAAGCTGCTTCCCAGCCCTTGGCCAAAAATAACTTGTTGGCACAGTAGAGAGCTCTAGCAACAAGTGGGATATCGCTGCTATTATAGATTTCATAGACATTAAGGGCTCGAAATCATCGAGTTCAGCCTCCCAATTATTCAATACAAAAATCTGTGCCTTCTTTTATACCAAGTTGTTTCATATCACAGGGCTAATAATCCACAGAAAGAGAAATGGGCAGCAGCCAATGCCTGTGCATACTTAGAGCTGTGTTAAAGACCAATCCTGCCCAAAGTTTCACTGGCTTATGTGGAGATGCACAAGCATAACTGAAGGCAAATTTGGCCTCTTTTATCTGTCCCAAAGCTTCCATGCAATGGATGTCCGTGTACATGTACCAGTGTTCAATAGATCAAGATTATCATGGTATTGCCCATCCTTGCAAAAACTTAGAAAAAGCTGGTAAAGCACTGGGTCCAGTTTGCAAGGGGGGCCCTATTTTATTCTAGTTCTAGTATGTGAAATTGCACTGACAGTTCACTCATTTGTCTACTGCGTGCAAGGCATTTCCCCAAGTATTCAGTGTTTTACCATAATTCAAGTTGAACCAGCACAGGCTGCTTTTGTAAAACCCATCCCTAGCTTTGCTTGGAGCTCACTTGAATATCATAACTAACTGACTCTACCAACCAGTGAAGCCAGTCCTGCCTAAGCCAAGAAGAACTAAGAAGAGAGAGGGGGCTCCAGTAGACAGAACATAAACTCTTCAGGATGCAGGGCCCAGGAACACAGCTTGTTAGCACATGGGCTCTGCCTAACTAAGAGTAGGGTGCCCTTGCATTCGCTAGTACATTTAGGAGAAGCACGTTTCACTTTTAAATGTTACCCTCACCTTAGCAGCTGGTGAAGGCATCTGCAGTCAGAAGAGTGGATATTTATGAAAAATAAATTTGGGCATGGAGGACTTTCCAATACTTGAACTGCAGTCCATCCTGCCACCTGCCTCCTTCCCCACCCCACCCCTTTCCGGCACAGTAACATCCCAAAACATTAACCATCAAGACTGTGCACTAATGTAGCTGTGAAACCATCTAGCTTCATTTTACTGATCAAGAAACTGTTGGATACAGAAGGTTTCACTGAGTCTTTATCCTCTGCTGCATTTCAGTGTTAGGAAAGCAGATCTTTTGATGTGTAGTGGGGTGTTCAAAAGCATCCTGATATTCTGTAAGGGAGGTGCTTTGCAAAATCCTCCAGAGTGACACAAGAGGGAGCAGTGGAACATTAGAAAGATTAACTTTATCTCAGAGCTGGATGGTGCAATTTTTCTATTTGCTGACTGCTTATAGCAGGGACCAGTTGTGTTGGCAAAAAATTGATTTGCTCCTTTATCCTTTGTCTCCCTCTCTCAAGGATGAAGCCAGTAAGCAGCAGCAATGATGTGGCTATGGATGCCTTAGATTTTGATCGAATGAAACAGGTGAGTGAGTGGGTCTTGGGAATCTGATGGAGTATTTTGACAATTCCTTTGTTTTACATATGAAGAACTGTTGTTTGACCTACATGAAAACAGCAGCTAGGGATAAGGGTGATCCAGTTGCTACAGTATATCTGGACATCCAGAAAGCCTTGGACAAAAGTCCCAGACCAGAGACTCTTAATGAACTTGGATTGTTGCAGGATTCAAGGGTAGGTCTGCAGAAATTGACTTGGACAGAAAGCAGAGTGGGTATAAATGGTCAGTATTCAAAATGGAAACAAGTAAACAATGGAGTCCTCCCAGGGATCTCTGTTAGGACCAGTGCTGTGGGAGGGTCAATAGTGAAGTGGTCAAGTTCACAAATGACATAAAATTATTCAGAGTGGCTACGAACCAAGGCAGACTATGTAGAACTACAGAAGGATCTCACCAAATGGGCAACAAAATGGCAAATTAAATTCAGTGTTGATAAGTGCAAAGTAATGCACATGGGGAAAAATAACCTAAAATCTATATACACAATGACAGCTTCTACATTAAATTTTACCATGCAGGAAATATGTTGCTGTCACTGGAGATAGTTTGCTAAAAACATCAGTTTAGATCTCAGCAGCAGTAAAAGAAGGCAAATAAAATGTTAGGAATTATTAAGAATGGAATGGTAAAGAAAATTAAAAGTATTTTTATGCCCCATTGTAAATCTATGATCCATCCATAGCTCAAATACTATGTGCAGTTTTGGTCCCCACACTTCAAAAAGGTGACAGAAGAAGTAAAAAAGGTACAAAGGAGAACATCAAGGATGACTGGGAGATTAGAGGGGCTTCCATGTGAGAAGACACTAAATAGGCTAGCACTTTTCAGCTGAGAAAGATATGCTTGAGGGGGGGCATGATGGAGGTTTACTAAATAGGAAATGGTACACAGAAAGCAAATAGCAGCTTATCATGTAGAATCTTTTCCAACACCAGAACCAGGGATTATGATATGCAGCTATTAAATCATGGGCTTAAAACTAACAAAAATAAGTTGTTTTGCACATGGCATGCATTTAATTTGTGGGAAGCAGCCTCTGAATCCAAACTTCCTCAATCTCTAAATACTTGAAGTTGCAACAGGAGGAGAACGGTGTGGAAAATTTTGGACATACCTTGTTCACCTTCACCCTCAGCCTCTATTCTCTGCCACATGTGAGACAGGATACTGGGCTAGGGTGGACCTACAGTCTGTCCTATTAAACAGCATTTTTGTGTTCAGCTTTGATTTTTTGGCTCTTATGTGTTTGCTCAAGCCCTGCAAGACCTCTCTTATGACTCTGAGTAAGGCAGAATGGATCATAGTGGCCCCTTGATGCTCAGAAGAAGACAGTCGCATAGAGGGTAAAGTGTCTGTACAGCAATGCTTCCCTGTTCTGTAATATATCACATCTAAGATCTCTTTCAGCTTGACCTGGAAGACTATATTTATTTAGCTGGCACCAGCAATAGGCTTTTATCTCTATGTGGGCCAACCAAGAAAAGAGGACATGAATCAGGGTCAGATTTTGTGTCATCTATTAGGTGCATAAATAAATTAGATGTTGAAGTAGATTTAGGCAGCTAAGTGTGATTCTGTATCAATCTGCTTAAGTCCCTAAAAAGCTCTTAAAACAAAGGTAGGTCATCCTCCTTCTCCTCTCTGCTTTTGTGCCACTTCATTTTATGGGTTAGATGACAGTGTGTTATAAGAGTTACTGCATTAATAGATTTTGAAAACTTGAATGAGATGGAATGAATTGCACTTAGGCACCTAAGTCCACTTAGCCACCTCGTAGGTGGAATAAAGTCTGGCCTCTAGGGTGCTACAAGGCTTTTTCTTCTACAAATTAAAAAGAAATTCTGATCAGATCACTTTTGTCTTCTCAGGAAATATTGGAGGAAGTTGTAAGAGAGTTACACAAAGTGAAAGAAGAGATAATTGATGGTAAGGAATGGAAAAAAATAATTTATTTTGATCCTTTTGTCCTGTGAAATTTCATTCATGTTCAAAACAAGACAGAACGAACTACAATGAATGCTTCAGGAAGTACCTCTAAGAGCTGCTTGGAAAAACTCTTTTCTTAAATGTGCATTAGTTTAATGAAGAGAAGAGTGGAGATGCCTGTAGGGAGATGTGACCATTCAAGGGCTGTGGTTCTCCTACAAATGCCCTCCTGGTCATGGAGCAATCAAGTGCGCCCCAGAAGTATAAGCACAGGAATTGTGTATGTGTCTGTTTATTCTGAAAAATACACTGCAGTTCTGACACTATATACATAGTGGCATAAGGTAACATACTGCAGCTCCCAGTTAATCAATGGAAGCCTGAAAGCAAGAACAGGGAGCAAACTCTAAGTCGGAGGGGACACATTTTAAACCTGTTAGAACTACATAAGAAAATATATGGAGAAAGGCTGGGGCCTAGGATTCCATCCTGCATTTTCCTAATTTTCTCATTTTTCTCAGCTACCATCCCACACTTCTGGCCCGTTCGGTTTAACGGTGCAGAGCTTTCAGTCACCACCTTTGCATTTACTTAGTCATTCTAGGAGTAAATGATTGGTTAACCTTTCACTTTGGTTTTCTAGCCATAAGGCAGGAGTTGAGTAGAATCAGTACGACATAATGACTGCACAGTATCTGGAAGGTACTAAGGATGCTAAGAAGACTGGATCATTTCTAAATGTACCAAGGTCATGCAAGATGGAGAAAAAAAGAGGACACCTGCACTGTCTTTGTTCTTAAACCCTTTTTATTAGCAGACTCAGCACACTTTGAAGCTTGCTGCTGCCTTGGATTTGCTTCATTTTAAAAGTCTTAATCTAAAAGAATATTCAATTTTAAATTTCTGGATTTTTTAGATTTCATCTGACACTGCACATTGGATTTGTCAGCCTTTTTTGTATTTTGTATTTGCTTATTTAAATGTATTACATTTCTTTTTAGTAGTAGGTAAGACAACATGTGAACCATTTGCTTTTAATAGATGACTTCAAAGTAATTTTATTAGTAGTCTGCAATGTAAATGAAACCCTTTGCCAACAAAAATGTATTGTGGCATCACCAGAAGAAACAGAGACACATCAATTGTCAACTGACAAAGTTTTTTGTCTCAGTTATCACAATATTAAACCGGTACGTCAGTGCACCACAGTATCTGTGTTCATATTGGTAATAAACTGTTTATCGTCCACACGGCCCTCTGCTGGTTTTATTAGCCTCTGCAGCTTTGTACTTTTAGTCTCCTGTGTCACTCCAGTAGGTTTTCCCTTGGCACCACTGAACACAACAGTGAAGGTGCCTCTTGACTACCAAAAAAAAAAGTCACATTTATTTTTAATATAAGGATCAGACAAGGCACATCAATACTGCATTAGCCTGTCCTTGGAATACAACTACACCAAGTGCTTCAGGTTCACAGAGCAGGCAGCTTATATCTTGTCCCTCTCTGAACACTAGCTCTCAGTGCAACCACTCTAGCAGCTCTGCAGCAGGTCCACAAGGGAGGCTTCAAGACTTGCCAGCCTCGCCTGTCTCCTCACCACTTTCTTACTCTGCCCAGGCACAAGCAGCCATCTAGAAATACTGCCTACCGGTCTCCACTCGGAGTCCTTAGTAGCCTTAGCAACTTCATCTGGTCAGAATACAGAGATTGTACAACAGTTTTCGAACTGCACTGCCCTGTTTCAGCCTGCTGCTCCTCTTAGACACCATAAGTCAGGGATGGGCAAAATACGGCCCGCAGGCTGAATCCAGCCCGTGAGGCCATTCTATCTGGCCTGCAGGGCCCCTAAAAATTTAGAAAATTAATATTTCTCTGCCCTTGGTTCCTGTCAAATGACAGGAACCAGTAGGGCAGTAGGATCCAGGGGAAGCCCGGCAGGCTCCCACAACAGCAGGGCCCACCCAGCCCCGCCCCCGCAGCCAGAACCACAGGTAAGGGGGAAGGGCGGGGGGGACCCCAGGCAGGGAAGGAGCCTGGGGAAAGGTGGCCCAGGGAAGAGAAAGCAGTCCCTCCCCCGCCCCATGGCCGGCACCCTGCACTGCAGCCGCTCGCAGCCCATGTGGGGCTGCCTGTGCCGCCTCCAGACAGCTCTGCGGGGCCTGCGAGCAACTGCAGCAGGGAGCACCGGCCATGGGGCGGGTGAGGGGCTGCTTTTCCCTGCGCTCAGCACCAGCTCCTTCCCTGCCAGCGAGCAGGGGGTCGGGGCTGTGCACTGCCCCACGCCTGCACCATGGGGCTGGGGGCACTGGGAGTGAGTGGGCAGGGAGCCAGCGGGAGCACGAAGCCCGCACCACTGTCCCAGGGCTAGCATCAGCGGGGCCCAGAGCAGGGCGGCAGGAGTGCGGGGTCCCAACCAGCAGGGGCTCTATGGAGCTGGGCCAGCTCCCCCCTCTCCCTCCTGGTGCCG